ACTACTACTACTACTACTACTACTACTACTACTACTACTACTACTACTACTACTACTACTACTACTACTACTACTACTACTACTACTACTACTACCACCACCACCACCACCACCACACTTCGAAATCACCAATTACTTATTATTACTTATTCACTTTCCCCGTCACCTTCTTAGTCTTCCCTTTAGTCTTACTCTTTTCAACCACCTTCCTCCTAATCTCCTCCCGTTCTTTAGCCTCTCCAGACTCCTCAAACCTCGTGTGCTTGCCCTTGAAGTTCTCATCGCTTATGGCCGGACTCCCCAATACCCCCTTTATGAACCTCTTCACAGCTTCGCCGCTATTAGCACCCTCTTTCTGTGCATCATCTGCCCCGGCCTTCACTCTCTTCTCTCTGTTCATGTAGCTCTTTACACGCTCAAGGTCTTGCATGATCGGGTGGCTCGCAGTGTCAACACCCTTCGACTTCAGATAGGCAAACCCGAGCGACACAATCACATACGCATACGTGTTCCCTACACGGATGGTCTCAAGTGCATCATCGCCAGAACACTCATTACACCGATCTTCAAACGACTTGGATATGAGCCTCTCAACCTGCGGCTTCAAATTGTGTATGCCAGTGTCCAAGGACTTGAGGAACTGCTCTATAACCTGGGAGTTCTCCATCACAATGTTCTGTTCCAACAGCTCTCTTTTCAACAGTAACAGAGCAAACAACAACAAAGTAAACAACAACAAATGCGAAAAAACCCTCGATGCCTTCTCTCTTCACACTTACAAAATTTTCCCTCTGGGCCTTAGTCTCCTTTCCCTCGCTGGTGCGCACATCAAAAAAAAATTCAAGCCTTGTGCGTCGTCGTCTGCAAAACCGAAACGGCCACTCGTTAAGTTTCGGTTTTTTTGCATGCAAATTTGTTATTTACGTTTCACACACACTGTTCCTCCTCCAGCGTCTCTGCGTGAACAGAGAAGACATATATATCTGATTCAAGAGAGGAAGCGAGATGTCTGTCAAAGGGAAGGAGAACGTCCATCCTTCAGCGCAGACCATGGATCTGTCGTCGCTGGCGGATAAGCCGATGGAGGAGCAGCTGTCCACCATCGATGGTATGGACCTGAAGCAGATTGATTCTGCTCAGAGACTGATATCGTCGAATTATAAGCAGTTTGCTCGGGAGCTGATCCACTCCAAGCTGAAAAGACTGCACTCGTACGTCGAGAGGATCGACTCGATACAACAGCAATTGCACAAGGACTCGGCGGCTTTTGAGCGGATTGTTGAGGATGAGCTGAACAAGTCCCTTCAATTGCATGCGCAGTTTAGCACCGAGCCTTCTGCGAACGAGATTGCCAAAAGGCGGAAACTTAGACCGGAACCTTCGTCGCCACCGCCAGAGCTGGAGGTATGGCCTGTATTGCCGAAAGTGCCTATATTTGAAGAGTCGTTCAACAAGGCTCTGAAACCGTTCGACGATTCCTTAGGTGCCATCAAGAAGAGATTCGAGTTGCAGGCGAAGAAAATCGAAGACGACGCACACAGAAATAGGGAGCTGGTATGGAGGCAGAGCATTAAAGATCGTATTGATCTTCGAAACCGGAAGAGACAATTCATAGCCAAGAACATGTACAGCTTACAGAGAGATTACGATAATGTTGATAAGAATTTGAAACTTCATCTGTTGGAAAACAGGTATAGAAGCTCAATGAGGAAAGTTGGCGAGAAGAAGTCAAAATCGGACTTTTCGATCATAGTGGAGACGCCTAATCTTAAGAGAAAGAATTATAACTACGTGGGGAGAGAGTTGAACTCATTTCTATCACATGCGTCTCGACAAGAGATCAACAACGACCTGTGTGAAATATCGAAGAACAACGTCAAGGTGGAGAAAATCGAGGCAAATTATCTCTATATGGAACAGCCATTAAAGAAGAATGGGGCTACAGGGCCAACTACTATGACAGACTTGGTGAATAGCGATTTGGAATTCAAGGGCACAAGTTATATACCTGGCACTCTGATGGGCTCGTCACCGGGGGCAACGTTTCAGCAGATTCTGCAACAACAACAATCTGGGCTCATCCAAGCGCAGAACGGTCAATATCCATCAAACCAACCTTTGAACTACTATATGGACTCGTACGCCGGAATGGCACCACCGAGTATTTTCCCACCACCTTATCCACCGCAGATGGACATGCCAATGGTCCCAGTGCC